CCCTGCGCTGTGGAAGAATCTGCTTTCACCCCGCTCTCCGTCGACCCAGCACGGTGTGCCAAGACGTCTGCCGCTGCCCAGAAGCACCAAGACGGTCAAAAACAATCCTCGAAGCCGCCCCCTTGCCCGGGGCAACCCGCCTCTGGCCTGGACCCTGCATCCTGTTTTAGTTTATCCTCGAAACGGGCCTGAAAGGACTCCATAGCTAAGCCAAACAACCTTGTTGGCGAAACTGGCTCATCCAAATACATCTGCCTATCCCTCTCAGGAATCTGCGACAACGTCAACCAGAGGTGGGGCTTAGCCACCACCATCGCCCCCATACTTTTCAGCCAGATTAGTACGGTGAGACAGACGTAACACAAAATCAGCAGTAGCACAGATTTTGTCGAGAAGCTCTGAAACCGGTTTCCACGCCTCCACGGTCTTATTCAGCTCCTGCAGCAAATCAATATGATACATTTGCAGCATTGTGAGCACATTCAACTACCGGGCCGCCACGCCCTTAGCCTTTAGTACACTTGTCCAGCTGATCCGCCGAGAACCGACACTGTTTATTCGGAAGCATCGTGCTAGGATTAGCCCACTTGTTAGCCTCTGGAGCTAAGTAACTTGCCAGTTTTACATCCATTGGAGGTGTGCAAATGAGCCCAGCCTCCTCCATACCCTCTACATTCATGAACTCGCCGTAACCTTGTAGCATCAGCCTGGCTGAATGAGGGGAATCATTTAGCTCATTGGCAAAATCTTTAAACAGGGGTAAGCAATGCTTCACCTCTGCAGGGACAGAAGGTAACTCTGCTGCGATGGAGATGAATGCCAATCCACCCCCAGGTGATCTGCCGCCCTACGCCACAGCTCCATCAAAAAGGTACATTAACCACCAATGGTTCACTCTCCCCGATTCCAAAGCCGGGGCTTTAGGCTGCTCCGGACTGATGTTATCCGATTCACACTCTGAAAACCCTCCGGAGCCAATCAGGGATAGTATATCATCCCCGTAATCTGGACTCTGAACACTGCCAGAGAAACCGAAATGAGCCTCACTCGGCTGGGATGACAACCCTATCAATTCCGACCGCCACTGCTGCTCTCTCCCAGCTTCAGACAACGCCATTCCCAAGGTCACTTCACCGGAAAACCCTTCGCCAGCAGCCCCAATCTTTCTCACAAAGTCAGCCTCACGCCCAGTGGATGTTGAACTCAGCCGGAGACAATGGTCACATGAACTGGTCCAAGCCAAAGCCTCCTGAGCGTGTTTCCACCCCAGGCAAACAGGACAGCACTTGTGTGTATCTTGAATTTTCATTGTGAAACCACATGCCCTAGGGCACGGTCGGAGGTTCAAACCCGGCTGGTTAGCCTTTTTGAACTTACTCTTAACACTGGCCATCTTATTCAAGCAAGGAAGCACTGGCTGCACAAGCAGAGCAGAAAGTAGTTAGATTTTAGCAAACACAAAAACAGATACCAAGACCCAAAACTCGCAACATCTAGGGGGATGAGTACTTTCTCCCCACTAACAGACACCTAAGTCGGAGACGAATCTTGTAGTCTTCGTGTGCTTGAAAAGTTTGCATATTGCGTGACACGTTCTTCCTTCAGGCGGGCTGAAGAACGAAGAATTGAGGAAATGAGTCTGAGCCCTTGTATTATAGCCAGGAAGCTGGGACTTCTGAGGGCGGTCTCGGCATCCATTGGCCCGTTAGGCGTGATTTCAGTTTTCTTCAGTTGAATATGATTGGTCGTTGACTCCCCATAGTATGTTATACCGAGTGACCGACTGAAAGGGAACAGCAACTTTATGCCCTTAAAACAACAAAACACTGATCTGTACCATTTCCTGAAGACATCAGAAAACTCATTTTTGTATTTGGTATTTTATTAGGATCCCCATTAGCTGTTGCAAAAGCAGCAGCTACTCTTCCTGGGTCCACACAAAACATGAAACATGACATAATACAGAACATTAATAGACAAGAACAGCTCAAGGACAAAACTACATACATTTAAAAATGGTACATATAGCCTACATATCAATACATACACACAAAATATCCAGGTCAAATAGGGGAGAGGCATTGTGCTGTGAGGTGTTGCTTTATCTGTTTTTTAAAACCAGGTTTGCTGTTCATTTGAGCAATATGAGATGCAATAAAGGCTTTATATAATACTGTACGCTTTCTTGAATTTGTTCTGGATTTGGGGACTGTGAAAAGACACCTGGTGGCATGTCTGGTAAGTGTGTGTGTATAAGTTGACTATGCAAACAATTTGGAATTGTCCCTCTGATTACAATGAAGAGCAAGATGTGGCACTCTGTTCTGGGCCAGCTGCAGCTTAACTAGGTCTTTCTTTGCAGCACTTGACCACATGACTGGTCAATAATCAAGATAAGACAAAACTAGAGCCTGCAGGACTTGCTTTTTGGAGTTTTACAATCTAGAATAACAACAAAATAAACACTTTGTCTGAAGAATGTTAGCCCTTGAATTTCGTAAAAGAAAAAAAGATGTTGCTAGTGTCTTGAATACATTTCAGTCTAATTGTACATGATATGTAGTTTACAGAACACCCACGTAATCATATAAACAAAGCTTGAATGTCCTGTTAAGAGGAAAGAATATTTGAAGTGTGCTCAAATGCATCATACTTAATCACGTTTTGACATAACTATTACACATTTTGGATTATTGAGTCCAACAAAAGATAGTCCCTTAATATAAACACCACATGATCAACAGAGAGATTTTGATTACATCTCACTCAGAAATAACCTCAGAGAGCAACAGATGTTGGAGTATTGATAGTGATTGATCCAATCCTGAACACACCCTTGGGTGGGGATGGTGGTGGTGGTGCGTGTACTGTGTGTGTGTGTGTGTGTGTGTGCGTGTGTGTGTGTTGTGTGAGTGTGTCCTGATGCTTGCCCTAGCTCTCTGTCTGATCCTGCTAATTGCTGGAACTGATCTGGAGGTTACGGGGAGAAAAAAATTAAACATTACGTCATGCTTAATTAGAATCAGCTCATAAACAACTTTCTAATATTTATGTTATACCATATGCCCTTGCCTTGTATCTGACACTCCCTAGGGAGGCAGAGGGAAATAACATGATTTATACATCACAGGTCAAGGTGGAACGTGCTCAGCTGCTATGCCACCTTGAGAAAGCTTTTTTTCCTAAATAAATGTCTGCCCTAAGTAGAGAGAGGCCATATTCATGGTCATACCTCCAAATTAAATGTTCCCTTTGTTGGTAAGAGATAAAAGAACAGATGTATCCTTTACAACTCAATGAAGAACTCCAAATCTGCTTAACAGTGCTGAAATGTGTGAAAACAACTGAACTACTCACAATTTAGCTCAACAACTATATTTGTGTGATGTCAATGAGATATTTGATCCTTTAAATGTGAATCTGAAGTGCTTCTAGAATGCAATGTTTTTTATGTTGCAGTAATCCTTCCCTTCTGTTTGAAATGTTACAGTTGTTTTTGGTCAAATTTTGCGAACTGCAAGATCTGTAAAGCAGACTGAAACTGTCACATTGTATTTCCTGTATGTAGTCTTCTTTGGCTGGTTATCACTTTTTGTATTTTTGTGGGCTGTAGATGTCCAACTTCCATAGCCTTACCTTATCTATATTTCCCTTTTTAAGGATTGAAGCATTTGCAAACTCCTAAGGGTCCGCTCCTTGTTTTCTCTAAAAACACTGGCTGGCATATGAATCTTGCACAGAATGTACCCCAGTTTGAGGTTTGTTTGTCTGTCTAAATTTTCCACAGTGAAACCACAAAGTCAATCCCTGAGTTATGAATGAATTTCGGAACAAGCTGTCAAATTTACTTATTGGATTTTCTGGCGTCTTGACGAGCTTCTAAACAGCTCATTCCTTCTGCTCCAACTGCTAGGAAATCTGACTTTTTTCGTCCCTGTAGCCTACCTACAGTACCCAACTAATTCATGAAAGGGTTGGTAGTTGTGAGTTGATACGTCAAAAAGCACACCACAGTCGCCATTCATTTGTTACTCTGACCACTTAATAGCTGCTGTTGATCCAGGCATGTGATTTACAACTGGTTTTGTAGCTATAGTAAATGAACAACAAAAGCTGAGTTTAGGCCTACAGTACGCAATATGTGCTGTCTAGTGCTATGGTATTGTGAAATAAATAGGTGCAAATCTACAAAGAGACAATTATACATAGTAAAGAGAAATATATTTATTTTATTCATGTTTAAACGATAGATTAGTATTTAAAAAGAAGAGCATAAATGATAAAAAAAAGGAATTGTCAATTCCATATTTTTTGTCTTTTTGGTTTCTTTAAATATTACATAAAATAAATAATTTATTTTAAAGCAGTCAGGTAAAGGAATGGAAATACCCAATACAGTGAACTTGCATGTTAATAAGGTTTATGCTATGGTGCTAGCTTGACTAAATTCTCTGCATTTGACTCACTCCATGGCCCAGCTTCTCTTTCATCACACCTAAGTCACCTAAGTGCTTCCAGTACTGTATGTGTCTGTCACAAAGCATGAGTGTCAAATTCAGTTCCTCGTATGAGTTAGTACAGCATAAATACATGTAACTGCATCCACAGATCATCACAGACAAATACACATGGTACACTCTGCCCTTTGACCCTGTCTTCAGTGACGCTGAATCAGTGTCCCTTTTTTGTCCTCTTATTCAGTATTCAGTTTTGTCTCCAACAGTTTGTCCATTGAAAATGATTTGGCACAGAAAAATGTTTCATATTTTCTCCTGTGCCGAATCATAACTTAAAAACAAATCTGTGCCATCATCAGTCAGACTCCGCGACAATGAGTTCAAACAGTTCCTTTACATAGTGCCTTCCTTTCAGAAAATATGTATAGTCTTTGCAAATCAAAAACATTGACTGCATATGACTCCATTATGTCTTTAATGGTTCCCAGTCTTTCCTCAGTGCAGTGAAACATTCCCAGGGGAAGGAACTGTCCAATGCGGTGGCTACACCACTATGGGCAGGAAGTGGGTGGCAGTGTTTTTCCTTCGTGTTTTTTTGCCCCTCATGGACTTGCCGTTGGCACTCAGCCCCACGAACATGGGCTTCTTCTTGTTCCGCCACTCTGCCGAGGCATAGGTGTTGTACCTGTTCTCCTCAATCCGCTCGGTCAACCGACAGTCAACACCAAAGTCCCTCTGGAGAACAAACAAGAAAAACAAATTGTGAGTGATTCGACAACTTTGGCAGCATAGGCAATGGAACTGGGGTCTACATTTGCATCATTTATTCAGTAAGTAGAAGTTCTCATCCAGATATCCAGGTTGGTTGGCTCCAATTAGGCAAGCTAAACAACAATATAAATGCAGTCTTGCAGAGTCATAATGGCAGTGGAGTCCATCAGGCTTCTAACAGACTACTCTTGTCATTTAGTGCCCTGACTAACTAGACAAAAAAAATGGATACAGTTGTGATCCCGTAAAGAATGTTCCTTTCCCAAATGCTCTTTAGCCACAGCTGTTCAAATTGATTCCAGAAGTCAAATGAATGTTCCCAAAGCATATGAGAATATTTTGGAGACGCTGCCCAGCGTTCAATTCACGTTCGGCTACCTCTTTCTCATGGAAACTTGTGTGAAAATAATCTCCCACAAAATTGAATATATTAATGTAGAACCAGCTAATTATAATGTAATACTTGTATAATGAGGGACAGACATGCCACCAATACTTTTCTGAGTGAATGACAGTACCTTGGTGTGACAATTTCGAATACGTCATGGGAATTTTGTTCCCTAGCTAGAATGCTTTTTGTGTCTCATTTAATCTGATTTCACTACTGAGAGAGCCGTAGTAACAGCCTTTCACTGTTGTGTTTCAGATGCTGTGTGAGAGCACATGAAACAGTGCCGGTAGCCCTTGAGGGCTTTTAGTAGAATGGAGAGGCTGTTGTATTGTGTTTCTCTGGTCTGAATAGAGCAGAGCACAAGGACGGTGTGGTATATGGGAGGATATGTGTGTTTGGGAGAGAGGGGCGGCAGGGGCGTCTCGGCTTACTTTCTTCAAGACGACAACTCTTTTGGCTGGGCCGACTTGTACTAGGGGATTATTTACGGGCAGTGGAGTGGAACTGTCCTTTAAAACAACCCCAGGCTTCTCTAAGGGCCCGGGGACAGGGGAGAGAAGAGCTCTCACACAACATCAAAGGACCCAGCTCCTTAAGAGAGTATAATATGGAAGAGAGTTAATTTCAACAGTAAGGTGGCAGTGCAAAAGCACTACCTGGCAACTAACTAGTGAGTGTTCTGAACACTGAATCAGTCTAATGGGGAGTTTGTATACTCAACCAAATAATTAGCTCCAGTTTTTATAGGGATATTGTTATTCTGTGTGTGAATTTCAGTACAGGCTAAACTTACTGCGCCATAAAGCTCTCCTTTCTTGCTGATTGCCAGGTAAAAGTTACTGCTGAGCCCCTTGATGGCCACGATCCCAACATCCACTGACTTGATCTCCAGCACACCTGGAAGACACACAGACATTATAGGTTAGTTATACCAGGCCAATACACTGAAGTGATAGTCATTGAATACTTGAACTGCATTGAGAAAAAATGCTTGAAAAAGATAGCAGTGTCTGTGTTTTTGACTGCATACAGTTGTTAGGCTTCACTGTTTATTTAAGCAATAATGCATGAGGGGGTGTGGTATATGGCCAATATACCACGGCTAAGGGCTGTTCTTAGGCACGACGCAACGCGGCCCTTAGCCGTGGTATATTGTCCATATACCACAAACCCCTGAGGTGCCTTACTGCTATTATAAACTGGTTACCAACATAATTAGGGCAGTAAAACTAAATGTTTTGTCATACCCGTGGTATACTGACATACCACGGCTGTCAGCCAATCAGCATTCAGGACTCGAACCATCCAGTTTATAATTTATGTTATAGCATGCAGGCCAGTTGATTAAGTATTACAGTGAATGTAAGTGGATACAGTATGTTATAGTCCATGATGTTGTAAGTTACTATAGTCTTTTCCAGTATGTTTACTGAACATATTGAGTCATCTACATTAAAAAAAAAATATATAGAACTGCAGGCCTTGTCTACTGAGTCACACTGGGAGGTCGAGTCACACTGTTATCCCTGCCTGTTATCCCTGACCATGTTTTGAATAATCACAGTCATCTTTGCTTGATCCCCCTCAGTAAACCACTGACTGGCTGCCTGGCTGTGTGTCTCTGTGCCGGTCATGGAGAACAGACAGGCTGAGCCGCCATTTCATTCCCATGCTAACGGGCCATAAGCCCTGAGTGAGAGGCGTTGGCTGGGGCTAAGCCTTGAAAAAACAATTTCTTTGCTTTTGTTTGTTTTCGGAGTGGAGCGGCACGCTGGCGAAAACCGAAATGTCCATATCAGTTTGCAGTCTAAATGTTTCTTGAACCAATTAGTGATTTAAGATGTGGTAACCAGTCTCCTTCATCCTAAAGTCAATTATATAAACCCATAAAGCTATCATGGGTTAGGAGGGATTAGCTCAGGACCAATTCTGGCGGAAGTTGGTCTTTGTAGCAAGCAGGGAGGCATGGAGGTGGCTGGTCTGGCCCAGTGTGGAGCCTCCTAGCCTGGGTCAGAGGAGAGGAGATATTGCCTCACAAGGTGGCCTTTGACAGGCCAGAGTCAGGGTAGCTAATGGCACCTGTCTACACTGACACTGACTTACCTTCAATCTTCCCCCCAGTGACATATTTTATTCGTGCCATCCCTCTTTCTCACTCCTGGGACACACATTTGTAACATCCTGCTGTCCTGGTGTGATTTTATGGGCAGCCTGAGACAAGGGGGGACCCAGTTTTAGGAGGGCTGTTGCAGGATTCTTTGATCAGGGGTAAGTTGCTCAGGCATTTACCCTTAAGTACTTGTTCAGCTGGACATATCGCTCCTCTCCATATCTTCCTATTTGGGCTATGTGTCCTGTCCCTGTACTGGGTTACATGTTATGGTTAACGGTTTTGCGGAAGAGTATCTCACTTGGGGACTCTAGTCTACCCCTGCTATGGACTTTCCCATGTAAACCAATTTCAACTTTGAACCAATACAGTCTGCAGCTGTGGATTCTACTCAAAGGTCATGACCTCTTTCAGACTCCTCACCCCCTAATTTTTCTTCCACAGTCGAAGACTGAAATTGTACCTTGTATGTGTAACACAGGAGGAGTGTGAAAACATATAAGCATATTTCTAAAGGTGCTATTATAAAACTCATGACACCATAAAACTATGAATAGATATTCCATTGATGCAGAGTAGAAATAAAGAAATTCCAGTTCCTGCACTGAAAACGAACTCCTAGTACATTGTCAATGCCTAAGCTAAACCATTTAGTATGAATTGGCGGTGATGTTTTATCTGCACCTGTGAACCGGCAAAACAAGCAGTGTGGCCGCCACTCAACAGACGGATTAGACAGGCTTCTTTATACACAGCGGGCGTGAGAGAGCCCCTTCCGTATGGGCTCTGGTTGCACACAGCTATTGAGTGTGGTGGTAAGGCTATCCGGCCTGCTCTCTGCTCCTCTGCCTTCCCTCAGGTTCATGAACAGGGGAGGGATGAAAGGAGGAGAAGAGAAGTTGGATGACAGTCAGTGGGATTAGAGAGGAATAAACCCTGATCAAAGGGAGGGAGAGAGAGAGAGAGAATGAGAGAGAGGAAATGCCAATTGATACAGGTGTATTGAGCCTACTTTGAACAACTAAATTGTACAGAAATACAACACACTGCAAAGACATGCACGAACTTTACAAACTCACACTGACTCACAGTTAAACACGCAAACACACAAGCCCTGTCGGAAAATACCCGTCTTTGCGTTCTAAATAGTAGGCATTTTGGGTTTGTGAAATTTCTAAAATGTTGTATACTTTAAATGCCATCATCTAGGACAATTCGCTGCACACTATTGAGGGAGAGAATCGTCTTTCAAGACACGTGTGTTTGATAATAGCTGAGAATCAGCTGAGGGGAAGCTCTGTACCAAAATGAACAAAAGGCGGAAATCAACGCAATTGTGCATTAGATTACACATTCTCAGTAGGATGTAGTATGCTGATATTTGTTGCTTAATGCATTCGTTTTACTAAACAGTACGTTCTAAATTCTGTAGTATGTAGTACTATTAGTACACAGTATGTAGTTTAAGTAAGTAGTAGGAATGTCAGATTTCAGACACAGCCACACACACCTTCACCATCTGCACAAGAGTGAATGGTTCAAAACAAGTTTTAAGTTTGAGCTCCCCTGTAATATAGGTGACACTGCAGTATTTTATGTAAGCTTGCAATGTCAAAATAAGATCAATCTCTGCCGTGTTGAAAGTCAGGCACCTGTTTTCGCCGTTTGCTTTGGGCCGTTTGATGTGGTGCGTTAAAGCAAAACCCTTTTTTATGACCCCCTTGCCAGTCACCAGAACCATCACCTGTACTCTGGAGTTGAAAGGCAGGGCTGTAACAAAAGGCTTAAATTGCAACAATATTCTATCTGATGACGGCACAGAACAGACCAGAGACTGACACATATTGCTCCTGGCAGCTCGGCACAGCACAGGGCCAGACCCATTTGTCTTCAGCCCCTCCATTCACAACAGTAAAACGAGTATCCTTACTCTATCTCTCTCTTTGCTTCATTCCTCTCTCTCTTATCCCTCTCTTATCTCTAACTGCATCTACGTCTGTTTCTCTCTATCTTTCTCTTCACTCTGCCCCTTTTCCTGTCTCCTCACTCTGTTTTCTTTTTATGCTTGGGGGGTTGTTTTTTTTCTCCCTCTGGTTGGCACGTCGCCCAAAACTTTTAGTTCTATTTTGTGAGGGTGGACTTTTAAGTGCAGCGAAACAGTTTTATGACCAATATTGAAAGTGTAATAGCCAGAGTTTTCTTAACAAACAAGAAAAAAAGGTGCTGACATTCTGCAATCAACATTTTTCAGAAACTACGAAGACAAACACCTGTGTATATATCAGGACTGTGTTAGTTTTATATGGCAGATTAATAAAAACCAGCCCCAAGGTCCTGTAACAGTCAACTGCAGTCTTCATTGCTAATGAAGGGTTAGTTCCAGAGACAGTATGGACAAGACTATATGAGAGTCCAAAATCAGTTTTCCGCCTCATTTCACTGTATGAAGCTGTATTTGTGCTACCTAGAATTGAGGTCCAATGTTTGCTTGCCTCACTAAAGGAATTTACTGCTGCACACAAGAAGAGGCAGTGTGTTTATGGTGTAATGAGATACTGTATGAGTGCAGGTAAAACATTTCTGAAATATCTTTCTTTAGATAAGGTGAGTCATCTGACTTCCATCTCTTTTCAACCTCAATTGGTCGATGTGGTTTCACAGTATTTGAGTAATTTGTGTTTCTTGGGTTTCTCCTACAGTATAGTTGGCAGAGGCTAGGTCTGCTAATTACAGCGTTACTGGAGAGCAGACAGTCTTCTGGTGGCTCAGTTCAGTTGTGCTGGCTGACTGTCCATTGGGTGGTCAAGTCAACTGCCTGGTGTGACTCCCATCGGCAGCAGCCTTGGCTTCTACCCTGGGCTCTGTAGGTGGCCTCTCTCCTCCCCCCCCCGCCCCCCACAGACCCCCTATCTCCACATAGGGCCATGGTTTCTTGGCAGGGTGACAGAACTCACGTTATCGCATCTTGTCAAAATTACCTCAACGCTTTCACATTTGTAGCTTCATCCAGCCGGCTTTACTACTGAGCCTCTCCACTTCTGTACTGTATGCGCTCACATGTTCGAAAAGAGTTCAACGTTATGTATAGAATGCCACACCCTGAGATTGGCAACACACAGCCAGAACACTACTCACTCTACTACAGAACATACAATGCATGCCCTATTCTGAGAGAAAACAGACCTTTTCTCATCAACACCAAGCATCAATTTGATACTAAAGTTTAAGCAGCTTAGATGCCACAAGACCACCAATGTCGTCCCCCCAGAGTGTGTGCATAATTGTCCTGGGAAACCTAACTTGCTGCCCCTATGACAGGCATGTCTTTCCAATTAACCTAGCAGATCTAGGGGTGTAGAGGCAGCTCAGGCCCTATTAGGTGGGGGTGGGATGGGGGTAGTTGCCAGAGAGGTTGGGGTAGTGGCAGGAGGGCCTGGGGTAATGGCAGGAGGGGTTGGGGTAGTGGCAGGAGGTAAGTGGCAGGAGGGTTTGGGGTAGTGGCAGGAGGGATTGGGATTTTGGCAAAAGGGGTTGGGGTAGTGGCAGGAGGGTTGGGGGTAGGGGCAGGAGAGTCTGGGGTAGTGGCAGGAGGGGGTGGGGGTAGTGGCAGGAGGGGTGGGGGTAGGGGCAGGAGAGTCTGGGGTAGTGGCAGGAGGGGATGGGGTTTTGGCAAGAGGGGTTGGGGTTTTGGCAGGAGGGGATGGGGTAGTGCCAGGAGGGATGGGGTAGTGGCAGAATGGGCTGGGGCTGGGCCTTAGCTGGGGTAGTGGCAGGGCAGGGGAGGGGGCTGGTTTAATGGCAGTAGA